TCTACTTTGCAGTCAGAAGTATGCTTGCATTGCTGGAAGGACGTTTGGGAAGTAGGGGCACTGCCCTGATCTGCCTCTCCATGATTCTTGACTGACTGAACGCAGGCAGAAACAAGACTCTGGAATTTTGAAGGACGTCCTGAGGGACTTGTCCAACAAGAGAACAGAAGTTGTCTTGAGCAGAAAGACAGCAATTTTTCTGAGCTGCGCCATCGCTTGAGAACGCCTGCTTTCATAGTTTCCGCACATGTTAGCTGATCGTGTGTAGTTATCCTGCCAGCTCTCTGCATATAGCTGGCCAACCATCACATAACCACTTCCAACCAGCTGGTTTCATCTCATGCATTGAAAGGTGGTCAACAGTGACAACATGTTGAGCTACTGAAACTATGGCACAATTCAACTAGCGGCTCGCACGTTACGGATCTCAATGTGGTGTGAAAGAGCTTTTCTAAGATTATCCAACTTTGAAGCTCCTATAAACTCGTTTAAGTTCCAGCCATGGTTCCCTTCTGAAAGACTACCCACCTCTGCTCCTTGGGTCGCCATGCTGGTCTGATTGCGGGACCCTCCACAGCAAAAAGGCCCCACGGAGGAGCAGGTGATCGCGGTCGCCCCAGAAACTGCCCGCAACACAGAGGTAGTCAGCCAATGCTGCGTAGTACCAGTGGGCGAAGCCATAATAGCTCCGGTGATCGAAGATGAGTTCAGGGCGCTGATGTGAAGGGGCTTGAACTGAGAACTAAACTTAGAAACTTGGGGAGATTGTCGACCAAGGGCTCCTTTGTGCAACGCAAATGCTGTGCACACGAAGCGCAAAGCCATGGAACGCCTATGACCGCATTGGGCCGCCAGAATAGGTCTTTTGGAATCCCTCTCCTTTCAATCATTCCAAGAAAGCGGAAACACCGTTGGCCTCGAAAGAGGCGCAGCTGCGATTCGATCCCCTTCCTCGACTCCCTTGCTAACTTGCAAGAAAGGCGTTCAAACCCTTGCTCGAAGCGGCTTTCAGCTTGATGAGGAGCTTTCGAGCTGCCAAACCCTGTGCATGTCAGGGCCCAGCTCGATGATTGCCACGCTTGACCATGGCGAAAAGACAGTGGGGTGACACGTGTGGGTCGAGCTTTCAATAAGGAGCGTCTCGACCGTCCGATACGCGTGGACAGGTGTATGAGACCGTCGATCGTACGTCTGCTTTTTGCATGAGAGCGCGCGCCGGATTACAGG